GCAAGTACGTGCGTTGCAATGAAAAAATATTAATATTTATAGAAAATGACGGTGGAATAGTACATACCTATTTATATTTTATTCTATCTAAATAAAATTTAAAAACTAAAATTTATTTATGATGGACATGACATCCATAATATAAATTAATCTTTGTTAGTAGTAATATAACCATGTCATATTAAGCATCTATAGAATTAAAATACAACCTTGATAGATTGTTTTTTCATGTTACAAAGCACAAAAAGTTTATGCCTATAAATTTGTTTTTCATATTATGTGTCGGTATAGTTAAAAATTGAGTTTTGTGATTTCCCTTGAAGATTTATAAGGATACAGGCTTGCTAGCGCCCGGACGGATGGGGCGTTCGAACACCCGCACGTACATTATGTTTCTCGCGCCGCCCTGAATGTCACTAGCATCGAGAAGAGGGGTAGGGGGCGACGGATGCCTAGCCGGCGTGGGGAGGAGGAGGAGACACCGAGGCGAGGCAACAGAAATTAGGCGACGACGGAAATGCAACACCCGATCTGCTTTTGAAACGTCCAAATGCAATATTTGTAACATACGTCTGAAGGCAGATGAAACACTTGAAACATGATCTGAAACACTTGCAAAAACAACTGAAAAACACTTGAAAACTATTGTAAAACATATGCAATATACAGATAAAACACTTACAACATATGTGTAAAACATATGCAACATTAAAATAAACAAACTTGCAACATACGCCTGGAGAATAGATGAAACATTAAGAACAGAAGTTTGCAACATACGTGTACAACCATTGCAACATATGCAACATCTCGATCTACTTTTGCAACATCCGCATGAAACACTTGCAACATACATCTTAAACATCTCAAACACTTGAAACATATGCTTACAACATGCGTTTTTCACCCTATCGTTCTTCTTTCGGATGATGCAGAGCAGAGCGGGGAACGGCCTGTTCCGGCCAGCCGGCGATCGAGGATGATGGCACGGCCTGGCAGCGGCCAACTATGCACCTATGCCTGGCTTGGGCCCGGCCAACGACGGCCCCCTCTCCTGGGGGCCCGGCCACACATGGCGGCCGGAAGGAGTTGCCGATCTCAACAAGGTCGGAGAGGATGCCCGCGAGGAGCGATGGGGAGCGGCGCGGCGACGGCCCGTCGGGGTGGGCGACGAGGACTTGGTGTGGGCCAGGTTGAGGAGTGCGTGCAGGAAGCAGCACGTGTGCTCTCGTATTTGCAGACAGTGGCTACATTTCCTGTCTGGAGGAAGGAGAAGAGGACCTGACGTCCGGGCCCGTGTGTAAGAAACAGGGAGGGAATAAGTAGAGTGGTCGGTTGGGTGGCTGGCCATTTGCCCAGGTAGAGGGAGTGAGCGTGGAGCGGTCCATCCATGCGGTGACGGATGACCGCTTCCTAGCATTACCGATAAAGATATGTTTGTAACACCTAATTAAAGTTGGCATGCTGTTAGTTGTCAGACGTGTTAATGACCGGTATGTTGACCCATGATTATGACCAGATAACGGGTAAAAAACAGACCGAACAAACACGAACGGAGGAACCAGCTAGGTACTAATAAAATGAAAAAAAAGGACAAACCAGAACGTGCCCGAAACGAGATCGAAGGTACTTGTACTCGAAAAAATCGAAAAAAGAACGAGGATCGGAATCAAAGACGTAGCGAACGTGCGGAAAAAGAAAACCAAACCAACAAACTGACGACCAGCAAAAGAAAAGCCGTAAAAAGAACAGAGAGATGAGGGATATTCTTCCTTTTTTCGAGACTCAATTACAGATGCAGACGCTCATGTATATGAGCGCACACTCATTTCTATGAACGTACGCACACCCTACCCCACGTTGCTTACCATTGAAAGAATAACGCCGTTAAGTTCTGGAGTAAATCCAGGAAAATATGAACACCCATGTCAAATCGAAGACTTAAATCCAATTGAAAATGTTTCACCGTAAGGAAATCAACCAGCTGAGCTACGCTCAATTCGCAAGAGAGGAGGGATTCGTAAATAATAAAATCTATTGATCTACGTGAAGCAGTAGTGCATGTAGCAGATCGGCATATCTGTCCGTGTCTCACGAACAGCAACAACAATTTCAGACTGGAGACAGTCTTCCGCTTTGCACGTGAAGATAGCAATGGCAAGGCTGGCTTTTTATAGATGTACCGGTGAATCACACACAAACCAGAAGAACAACTCAACTTGTACTCGGTCTCTCCATGGTGACTGTCGCAGCAAAACACAAACCATGCACGTATCGAATCGATTGAGTCTCGACTAAAAAACAGGAAAAGACAACAAACAGAAGAAGGACCGAAATAAAAATAAAATCTTTTCATGGTTTATTAGAGTAGATATTAATTTATATTTTTATCCTTTTCTACTTGGATTAGGATTTGTATTTTGGATACTCATGATCGGAGAGATCAGAAATTTTGCCTCTTTTATATCTTTTTCTATTCTATTAGAATTCCTATTTAGGTTACTCAAAGGATTTGACAGATCTTTTTGTATTAGGATTAGAATTTGTAGTTATCCAAGTTACCCTACATAGGGTGTATATAAAATAGGAGGCCGTAGATAGACAAATATAGAATTTCACATTCACAGAGTTAGTTAGGGGAGGTGGACCGAAAAAATGAGCTGAAATTTTGTCTCTTTATTATTAGGTATAGATAGATCTAATCACCGGCTGATTAAACGCTCACAACAACCAAATAAGGTTTTGAGACAAACTCAAACTCACTTACTAAGCACTAAGCCTATTAGAAGACAACCACCCATTTTTCGTGAGGATCTCCATTGCCGCAGTCTCTAGCAAACGACAAGTCTCCTTCGTAATTATTTTTCATTGTTCTCCTTATGAAGAACTAGACCAGTAATGCATCTAGTAGGTGACTCTAAAGATTACCGGAAGTAGGAATATATTGATTGTTTTTTTTTCAAAAACACCGCATGCCAACCAAATATAACACCCTTTAGTAAGAACCAAGAAAAGATCTTAATTTTAAGAGTTAACTTCAACTTCCATAAAGACTTGTTTAGAGGCATTGCATTCTATAGATGCGAAGGAGAAAAAATCGATTGTGTAGGAGAAGATAAATATTAGTATAAAATTTAGCATTCTCCAATCCAAAAACATACCAAAAAAATGAAGGAGTCATTAAGTTTCACTCATTAGCCGATTCACAGAAAATCAGATCCTTTGATGGTATTGGTCCATAGGACACCATACAACATGGATGAAGGTGAGCCCCACAATTATCAGCTCATTTTTTTGCTCAAAACAGCAGTGGCCAAGCTTCAAACTGAAACAATTTGGTAAAAGAAACTACATCATGATTTATGGAGACCATATGGTACCCAATTAAGCCATGACATTTGTGCGTAATCCCTCTGTCCCCAATTAATTATCACGGTTGATTTCCGTGCCAAAAGTTTGACTCGATATGTAGGAAATACATGTAATATTTTTATCTTCAAATAAATTTTATTAAAAAGCTAGATTCAAATACCTTTCTAGTGATATTAATCATGTACCATAAATATTAATATTTTTTATATCTATTTAGTCAAAGTTATCTCTCGAAAAACGAAAACAAAAGATATTTAGGGACCAGAGAGAGTACTACTTTGCTATTCTACATTGGAGAAACCAACAATGAAGTGCATCAGCGTGTGGTAAATTAATTAAGTCAAAGATGCCTTTTTTTTTTGCTTTGGGAGACAGAGGAATCTCCAATGTTATTAATTACAGGGGAACCTAACACTCAGAATATATATATATAGCATAGCACACGTTGGTGAGGTGGCTGTCTCGTCTCATCATCGATCCGTGTTGGTAGCAACAACCCAAGTACGACACAATTCGGTTGTTGCTTTTTGAAACCAACAGAAATGGATCAATAATTTATGGAACTGGTTTGTTGGTTGTCTTAAAGAAGTGTCACTGAACCTTTTGCAGCATGATCGACAAAATATAGTGGAAGTGGAGTATTCTTGTTTATATGTTTTATTTGCTGCTGCGACCTTATGTTGGCACGTCACATGCATGTATGTCTGTTACTATGCTTGCCAACTGACAACTGTACGTACGTTGGCAGCTACTGTCCGTGCCATCGTCCTGTTTGGCCGTTCCAATCCGACTCTGACCAAAACACATGGGATACCATACAACAGTGCAATCAATCAGTGACGTTAACAACTGCTTAATTTCCCAAGGATGAGTAGCTAATGCCGGAAGTCCTTGTCGGCTAGCTCTCTCACTCTCCTTCCATTTGCTGTCAAGGTCAAGAATAGCATTGTTTACAGCAACCTTCTGCCTGTACGCAGCAAAACTCCTTTTAATTGTTTCCGAATGTGCCCTTGTTAACGACCTCATGGTCACAGCTTCTGCCAGTAATCACAGCTATGTTTATGTTTATGTTTATGGAGTAAGTTATTAAGAAGCAATTTAAACCAATACTCAAGCAGATCATGTCTGTTAACAAACTCCAACTTATGCACAATTGTCATCGCTAAGAACTTTCAAAAAAAATTGTCATATCTAAGGCTTCGTTTGCCTAATAACAAGATAACACAAGAATATTCACATGGATGGGCCGAATTTAGTTGTAATTGCCAGCCCATCCATGAGGTTTGGAAGAATATCTGGCACATGCAAACAGGCCCAAATGCAGTTTCATAAATCGAACCACTAAGTCTAGTAAAAGAGTACACTTTCTCAAAAAAAAAAAGAAAGAAAGAAAAGGGTACACTGGACAGAGAGATACCTCCAGCCAACCTATATACGCACTGTGTTACTTTGGCTATTTCTACTGCAAAAACAATGCGTCATATAAAAAAAATATTTCATCAATCAAAGCTCCACATACAGCCCTTCAATTTCCTCCTGAGGCACAGGCACCAGACAAGCTTAATTGTGCACGTCCTCTACTCTAAATCGACATATCACCGTTCATAGCTTCCTAAACCTTATCAGGATCATAGCAGATTCTTCCGGGCAAGTAAAACGCCCACTTCCGTGCACACGACAACAGAGATCAGGCCATCTCGAGATCTCAAGTGTTCCTTCCATGTTAAGGGCTCATAGACTTTCCTCAACACTTCACGGAACTGTTGTCTGGTGTTATCCAGTGATCCAGAGTTGTCGATCACTATGTCAGCTTCCGACTTCTTCCAGTCCAACACAAGTTGTGCGTTGACCCTGCTCTGCGCTTGTTCTTCAGAGCACCCGTCTCTTGACATCAGCCTCTGAATCTAGGTTTCTGGGTTAACCCAGACCACAATTACTGGATTTGTCCACCGATCCATCTTGGTCTCAAACAGCAGCGGAATGTCCAGGATGATAACCTTGCATCCTTTCATCCATAGTTTTGCTATCTCCCACATTATGCCCCAAGAAATATGTGGCGCCAGAAGACTGAAAAAAAACAAAATTAAAAACAAAACAACTCCTATTAGCAATGGTAAATACTGATAGAGAATAAAATGTTTCAGCTAACTGAAACATTAACAGAAATAAGAATAATAGAAAATGACAGTAAGAAGGAATCAAGTCATCAAGCGGTACACATGAAAAATTATACTAAAAGGACAAAGGAGAAGCGGGTAGACGAGTGTCACAGTTAATTACTTAATTATAACATCTTTATTGTACTTACTTTTATTTTCTCCAGCATTGTAGCATAGCTAATGTTTTGTCTTTTCATGTTTAATGGTAACAATAAATAAATCAAATAAAGTTCAACAACACTAGTACTTACACAAAGAATGATAGTTGGACAGTTGACTCATGTGATATTGCATAATACAACAAAATTGACACGTATTACTGCATTCATAAAAACAGAGAGTGAAAGGATGAAATATTTGAAATCAGTGATCTTCCCGGACGCGAGCAACGATGTCGGCGTCGACGACGGGGACGCCGGCGTCCTTGAAGAGGTTAGAGACGGTGCTCTTCCCGGACGCGATCCCGCCCGTTAGGCCCACCAGTCTCATCTCCTCGTCTTCCCCTTCTCGCTGTAAACGAAGATAGAGAACACGCTCAGTCGCCGATCTCTTACTTTCACAGAGTTGAGCACTAGGACGAGAGGAGATCCAAATTGAGGGCGAATGATTTTTACCCGGAGGTGTCGGAGTTGAAGGCGCTCCGGCGGCGTTGGAATCGGCGGCAGCGATGGGGTGGAGGAGGAAGGGAGCGAGGTGCGGCGGCGCTGTTTGGTGTGGCTTGTTCACGGTCTCCTTGGCAGGCTTCTCTCCGCCTCCAGCTCCGACTCCAACTCTGACTACCAAACGTTCGGAGGAGCATTAAAGTGTCACATGCTTATACGTCAAACACCAAAGTAGCCGTCTCCTTTCTTCGAACGTCCAGTGTCTGCTAAAACTTGAAGATCGCACTGAAAAGACGGTAAAGAAAAGGGACAACGCAAACACCCTCACCAAAAGACTTTCAAGACTGCAAAAGTCACTCGCCCCTAACAATCGAGATCTAATATCTACTGAAAAGAATATCGGCGGAGGAATTCTCAAAAAAAAAACACAGGTGTATAATCCTTTACCATCAAACAAAGCGTTGAAGATGTCGGATCTTGTATAGAACATACCAAAAGAAGAGGTCGAGATCGACACATCAAAAGGCAACTGCTTCCTCTGATAAGGACACCAAATAACAAGTTCTAACGAAGATCAACAAATCCGACAGACCAAAATCCCATTGCCTTTGTCAATGCAAATCAAATGTCGTCAGGTAGGGTGAGGCCGGAGAGATCATATTCTAAAATATCATCGTTGCCACCACCTCGTTGATTACACTAGAAACCAAACTCTAAACCAACAAGGATCTACAAACCTAACCTAAAACTATAAAGGACAAGGGATCGGATCCCCGCTCCTCTGTCCATCGACGAGATCACCAGTTGGGAGAGTGTGTCCTAGGAGAGGGCGGTGGCGTGGTGGTTGGGAGAGAAGTGGAGGCATGAGGTGTGGAACAGATAATGGTTCTTGTTGTTCAGTTATTAGTTGGTTTGATGAAAAACTAGCGTTCAGCTGTTCAGGTCGACCGATGAGGTCAACAAGATAGACAACATGGCAAGCGCCAGTGGGCTAAATGGCTGACCAATTAATATCCATCTTAGTCCACATGTGTTAGATTAAAAAATAGTTAATGTTTCATCTCAATCTATTCTAATACCACGTTCTATCTCAAATTTATCATTGTTTTAGCTTTTCTATGTACATAGCTTTTGCTATGCACCTAGATATATAATTATTTTAGATACGTAATAAAAGTTGTGCATCTAAAGAAGTCAAAACCACCTATCAAGCCCTTTGGAACAAAGGAATAGTTCTCAACAATTCCTTTAAAATTCATATAGATTGGGTCATCTAAAGGAATAATTTTGGAGGAAGGTAAACATGAGCTCCAACCTCATTGTTTTATTTCCTATGATTTTCCTACAATGCTTTCAAACGCATCTTCACAAACTTTCCTCTATTCTGAAATCCTATATGATTTGAAGTGCTATGGCATTTGATTCCTATGTGTGTTTCCTATTCATGTATTTTGTAAATCCTTTATTTCAAAGGGGGGCTAAATTGGAACGGAGGGAGTACACATAAATTAAGATCGATACAGGTATACTGAACGAAATGTGGAGAGTTCCAGCAGCTTCATATTAAAAAACACACAAATTCAATGTGAGATATGTGGATCGTGCACTTTGGTGATCGCGGGACCACACGGCCCATGAACTACTAAGAGTGACTTTACCCACTTCACTTTATGCCTGCGTCATGGGTGGCTGAGAATTGGATCGCACACACATAAACTCTTGTACTCCCTAGATTCCAAATTATAAGTTGCTTTCACCTTTTTGTACATAAAATTTTCTATATATCTAGAGGGACGGATTCACGCTTTTTGGTTATTTCAAAGCCATTTCAAAATCCTTTTCAAAAGCAATTTAAATCAGTTTGAACTTCAATCAAAACCACACGGAACAAAAGAAACAAATTCACTAGCATGTGTGCAACAACACGTGCCTAACCTTATGATGGATTTTAATTTAATAAAAAAATTCCTATGTTTGAATGCACAAATAAAAGTATAATTAAATCAATTTAATCTATTTTAAAGGAATGCAAAGTTTATGATGTTACACGAACAAAAAACTTTACAATTCTCATACATTCCAACACCCAATCAGTCCATCTTTCTTTGAAGCCCAACTTTTGGAATGTTTTTTCCACGTAGTTTTAGTTGATGCGATCATACACTTCGGCCAGATTGAGTTGATAGGCGCAAAAGCCTCCACATTTGTCATTGCACTGTTGGATAACATGGAGGCATTCAAAAGCTATTGCATATGTTGTCTGTAATCATCTGGCCTGGAATAAAAGCACTTTGAGTTGGGGAGTTAATGTCCTGCAGAAGAGGTCGTAATTTATTGACCAAACATTTTGATATCACCTTGTAGATGACATTGCATAGGTCTATACTCCTTGAGTTCCTTGGCATCTTTGTTTTTTGGAATTAGCACAATAACTGTGTCATTTATTCCTTCTAGCATTTTACTAAAGGCAAAAATGATTTACTCCTTTGGTCACATCATCTTTATCAGATCCCAATTTATTTGGAAAAAATCTAGCTGGAAAACCATTTGGTCCAGGTGCTTTTAGAGGACCTATTTGAAATAAGGCATCACTGATTTCCTCATTTGAGAAATCCTTGTACAGAGAAATATTCGTTTACTCTCGCCTGCAGGTTATCAATGATTAAATCAGGTTCCACTAAGTCATCTATTGTATAGAGTTTAATGGAAAAAAACCATTTGTGACTTTGCTGATATGTACTTCATCCTGGATGCTTAAGATTATGTTTTTCTTTGCTCTCAAGGAGGGTTTTGGCATTCATAGAGAATTCTTGTATGGATGCTTGTGTATGCATCTTGTGAACACATGATCAGAGTAATAAAATTCAATTGTCTCATATCGATGTGTTGGTAATCTCGTTCCTCATCTCGGTTCTTTATTCTTATGCCTAGCTTGTAGTTAGATTGATTTTTTGTTCATGAGTTTAGACTTGATTTGATCTATCGAAAATTGTGCTACGACATGGTGCTATTCATCAGAGAAGTTTGATTGGTTAAACATTATTAAATTTTGCTTAATCACGTAATTAGAGTTTAATCTATTCTCGTCCTCTGGATCAGTGTGTTTGTTATTTTTATATCGAGTTCTAGATCCCCAATTGATGTGATTCCAGTTGCATTAGTTAAAGAATTACATCTATTTTAATCTGCAAAATTCAGATCAATGGGAGCTATGGAGACACAAAATTCTGTTCAGACCAGTTTTGTATTTAGGGGAAGACTTAAAATTTATATTTAGCTTCAACAATCATTCACCTCTTTGATTGCCTATCTAAGTATGATTCGATCTTACATATTTGGGTTGGACACATAACAAATATTCATACAATACAACAAAGCAGTTATGGGCACTAAGGGTCTGTGTGGTTTAGCAATGAGCTATGAGCTATAGCTATGAAAAAGCTGATGTAAACTATATGTTATAGAAAAGCTATAAGCTGTTTGGATGAAACAAGAATAAAACCTACCCTCTCTCTCCATCTTCCTTGAAACAGCTGTGAAACAACTTTCTATTTCCACTTATTTCGAAAAGCAAAAGGCCAAAAGCAAAAACACAGGGTCCAATGTGCTTCAAAAACTATACTACACGGAAGTAGATTCATGTTGAAGCACTTTTTAGAAGCTCAACCAAACAGCCTAAGATAACTAATGGTCATTAAGTGGTGATACAATCTCTGTACATGATGATGAAATCATAGACATAGCTTAGATAGTACTCCCTCAGTTCTAAATTGCAAGTTGATATACTTTTCCAGATATATAGGTTTTATTATGTATCTAGATTGTATATCTAGGTGCATAAAAAACTATATACCTAGAAAAAATAGAATGACTTACAATTTAGAATGGAGTGTGTATTTTACAATACTACACCCAATTCACATGAACAAAGTAAAATAAGAATCAACCACGTCACATGAATTCAACTAGGGATTGTACTTTTTTTTTCTCGAACAGCGCAGGAGAACTGCGCGTCATTTCATTAAGGTAGAGAAAGAATTACAAAGGTCCAAGTGACCCAACACACACACCCCACTCCCCAGAACTAGGTTACTGACTCGCCACACAAAAAGGAAAAAAGGACGACCAAACTTCTCCAAGCATTAAGCTCCGTATCAGCTCCTGGAGTTTGAGGCCCCGCCGAGCACCGAGCCCACCCTCCGAGCTAATAGCCCTAAGGACTTCCTGAACACTTGGCCTTTTATTATCAAAGACACAAGAATTGCGATGCTTCCAAATCTCCCAAGCCACCAAAATTATCAAGGAGTTGAGGCCTTTACGCAAATCCTCACGGACAGGCAGCTTGTTCTCTTCCACCACCCCGAGAAACGAATCACAGAGGTTGTGGTGCCAATCTAGAGCATTCCCAACCGATGCAAAACCAGGGCCCAAACTTGCCGGGCAAAAACACAGCCCACTAGCAAATGGTTTATTGTTTCATCCTCTTGATCACATAATGGGCAAGCCTCGGGATGGGGCAGATTCCTCCTTGCAAGTCTATCGGCTTGTCCGCACCGGTTGAAATACCAACCAGATGAAGAACTTGCAGCGTGGAGGAGCCCAAGTTTTCCAGATCCTTCTCCAAGACCCAAACTTGATGGTTCCCTCAAAGAAGGCTGCATAAGCTGATTTATCGTGTAGGAACCATCCTGAGTTAATTTCCATCTATATTGATCTGGAATCTCCGGATGCAAAATAAATCCATCCACAATGTCCCAAATACGAAGGTACTCAAGCATGACCACAATCAGACGTGCTCCTTTAATATCCCCGAACCCAACTATTATGATGCAAGGATTGTGCCACCGTCCTTCTCTTGGCTGTTCGATTTGGGACCCGCCTTGAACAAAGTTAGGAGCTATTTCAGCCATGGTATGCCCCCCAGCCCATCTATCTTTCCAAACAATATCTCCTCTCCATTTCCTACTATGGCATCGATCGCAACATTGAAGAGAGCCTCGGCTTTATGAGGAACAGAGATAGGAAGGCCGGACCAAGGCCTTTCAAAGATCTGTCTTTTACGCCCACAGTCATTTAATCTTCAAAGCACATCCCGTAAGTTCAAGATTATGAATCCCAAGACCTCCATACTCAAGTGGTCTTTGCACCTTTTCCCCAAGCTACTAGGCAATTGCCACCATTGGCACTGCTCGTGACCCTTCCAAAGGAAGCCTCATTTTTTTGTCAATAGCCTTAATCACCCATTTTGGAAGGTCCAGGCGCTTAAAAGGTATATTGGGACAGCAATCGGCACAACCTTCACCATGACTAGCCAGCCTCTGCTCATAAGAGAAGCCTTCCATCCAGGAGATAATATGCCACTTTATCCACTAAAGGTAACAACACCTCTTTAGTTGGTTTTCCAATTGAGAGCGGGAGGCCAAGATACATGCAGGAAAAAACTTTATAGAACATGAGAGGATGTCAGAGCCAATTCCTCATCAAGACAAAGGAATAGGGGAAACTGAGCTCTTAGCTAGATTAGTTCTAAGCCCGTAAGCATGTCCAAATGCAGATCTAGGAGGTGCTTGATGGTGATCTGATCCAAATTATATGGTCTCGTGAAAATTACGCGTCAACAAGATAAAGGAGACCCGATGCCTTGCTTGCTTTGATGGCCGAGGCTGCAACAAACCCATCAAGTAGCGTGATTGACCAAAGAATTTAGGACATCCATAACTAGAATAAACAACATTGGTGACAAAGGGTCACCCCTGTCTAAGCCCATGGTGATGGAAAATAGAGTCCCTGTGCTCTCCATTAACCAAGACTTGTGTCAAGAAGTGGACAGATCGGACAAATGAGGTCCCGCCATCGCTGACCAAACCCCACCTTGCACATGACCTCCAAGAGAAACGACCAAGACACGAATCAAAAGCCTTGGAGATGTCCAGCTTAAAGAGGATATGCGCCTCTTTCTTCTTATGCGCAGGTTTTAACCATCTCGTTGGACCAAATGAAATTGTCATGGATTTTCCTTCCTCTCACAAAAGCGCCTCGATTTGCAGAGATCAAGGAAGGCATAGGGGGCTAGCCGATTAGCCAAGATCTTCGTCACCAACTTGGCAAAGCTATGAATCGTGCTTATAGGTGAAAATCCTTCACTTCCACCGCATCCACTTTCTTTGGTAGCAGGGTTATAAAGGTCGTGTTCAAGAGCCGAAATTTGAAGACATGGCCTTGTTCATGGCCTCAACGCCCTCATCACATCACCTTTAATAATGCTCCAAAAGGGATTTATAAAACCTTCCTGTGAATCCATCCGCCCTGGGCCTTATCCAAGGGCATATCCTTTATGGTAGCCCACACTTCCTCGAGAGAAAAAAAGCATCCAAATTTCAGATAAATTATGATGTTGAATGTTCAAAATATCTAGATCAAGAGTGTAATCTCTTTCTTCACTTCTCCAAGAATGCTCTCATAGAAATCATCCACCGCTTTCTATTTCTCATCTTGTGTGACAACCACCGATTACCAACTTGCAATTTTGAGATGAAGTTCTTCTTCCTCAGATCTAGCTTGTTGGTGGAAGAAAGCAAGATTAAGCACACCTTCCGGAGATAAAGAAATCTAGAACGTAGAAATGGTTCGCTCAAGGAAGCTAGACCAAGACAATGAAGTTTGAGTTTCTTTCTGAGCCATTCCTCACGATCGAGAGAGTGCCCTTGAATCTCTTTCAATTTCCAAACGGTGAAGTATTTCCTTGGCCAATTCTAATTGGGCTTTAATATTCCCTACTTTCCGTTGTCCCCATTTTTGCAGCCCCTCATCGAGTCATTGCAATTTAAGGAAGATGCACTCCACAAAGACAAGTAGATCGTGCACCGCAGCCTCCCAATTCTGCTTAACAAATCAAGAAAGCCGTGCAATTTGGTCCGAAGCTTTCAAAATGGAATCTTCGCTTGCCGTGATGTACACACCTTCAAACCAAGGATAAGTGGGCAAGTTGTTGCAAAACCCCGTCATTGTGCTTTGGAGTTACAAGATCAAGAAAAATATTTTCCCAATCACCACAACAAAAAAGCCCGATCTAGCCTCACCAAAGTAGGCGATCTCCTCTCATTGGACCAAGTATATTTACGACCCAAGAGCGGAATCTCCTTGAGATCATTGTCATCTAGAAAACGCTGAATCTTCCCATCATAGCTCTATCTAAATTTGCATTATTCTTGTCGCAGCCTGATAAATCAAATTGAAATCTCCGCCTAAGATCCAAGGACCATTGCAAAGAGCTCGATATTCCTTAATTCTTGCAAGAACAACACTTTCTCATCATCCCCTTGTGGCCCATAGACGCCAAAGTGAACCACCAATTATGACCCTCTTGCTCGCAAATGAGCAAGTGTTGAATAAGTGTCAATTCTTGATGCAATTGCACATCTAGTCCCATTGGCCGGGAGCGCGATGAAATTATCATACGCAGAGCCACAAATCGAAAGGAGAAGATGTTGGGACATGTTAGCGACCTTGGTTTCTTGTAAACAGATGATGTCAGCATTACTGGATATAACAACATCTCTGATAGAATTCCGACGATCCCTGTTGTTAAGACCTCGGACATTCCAAACTAGAATGGTAGAAGGATTCATTTGAGCAAAGAAATAAGACGACCATAACAAAGAGTCTAACCTTACAACATTGTAAGGACATCTGCAGCCCGCACCTGCTCACCTGTTCCCACTTCCCAGCCAAAAATAGCAGCTAAAGCACAGACGTGGGAATCAGAGAGTAATGGCCCGAAGAGCTTACTATAAATGTCTTGAGCTTCTGGCTGAATGATCTCCCTTTCTTCAAAGCCAAGCTGCCGCATCACCCTCATTTGAGTCACTGAAAGCACCGGTCCCGGCGAGCATGGAGCGGCACCAGCGACCCGCCTGCTGCGCCGCGGTAGAGACCCCGAAGGAGCGGCCTTTTTTCGCCGCTTCTGGATTACAGGCAGAGGGACGAGCCTGTCCACCGGCTTGCGCACCTTGTCGAGATTCTGGGCAGGATTTGAGTCACTGTGCAGAACGAACAGCAAAGCATCACATAATGACTCAACGCCATTCCAATACTCCAGATACCAAACCACTCTACCAAGGAAAGACAAAATCCAGTCAGCCTCACTCTAGTCCTAACCAGACACCGCATATTGCAACCTGCATTGGTAGACCAATATAGGTGGCCTGGTCCTGAACTATTAATTCGACACAAGGGAGGCCAGACTACCAGTAATACCCCTACCATACATTCTCTCATTTTTTGGCACCCGGCAAATACTTGAGGATTGTATAACCAGCAGAGTCAGAGATGTGAACCTTGAAAATTGGTGAAAGGGAGCGTCCAATCACTTGGGCATGGCAAACACTGTCCATCATAGTGAAAAAGAAAAACCCAAAATGTCAACATTTCAGCATTTATACAAATAAGTGGAAACATTTCACGCATAAAGCAAACTATACTTTAGTTCTGCATGCATTTTTGTTGAGGCAACATATAGACAAAGACAACTAAATATTACAAGGTTTTTGAAGGAAACAAAAAAAACTACCTCAAACCTGTTGCTAAGTTGTCATGATATAATGATCAAGTGCAAAAAAAAGAATTATAAGGATGGTGGTTAAAATTGAAAAAAAATATGATCGTGATGTACACAACCAGTGGGAAATGAGAAAATTGTTCATCAAGTTTGCGCACTCCTACTCCAAGCTTGAAACTGGACTATATACAATCTCAAAATTTGCATAATAAAAATGTAAGCTCTCTTCTCTTAAGTAAATTAAGCTATTTTCATTTTATTTGAAGACAAGATAACCATAAGAAAAATGAGAGGATTGAGAACTCACCAAATGTAATACATATCATTAAAAACTTTGTGTGTTCTTCATAGCAGTTCAATCCTCACTACACCACCAATGCAAAGGACAGGGCGTGGGAGTTTGAAGGATTGTAACACATTTTCCTATCACACCAAAATAAGACAGAAATCAACAAGGTCGCCATATTATCTAGTGAACATGTTGTTCATTATATCATAAAACAGGATTACTAGTATATCATTGCTCATAAATAGGTCCCACTGGAAAGAAGAAAAGTTACAAGCATGGACTTAGGTCCTCAACTGCTCTACATGGATAAGTGAAACTCGATACAGCAGGAAAATAAGGAATTCTATGAGATGGTCCCTTCAATTCCACCTCATGAGGCCCCATCCCAGATCTTTCCAACAGTGAAAGCTTTACTGACCTCAAGTAACCAAATATTTCTTCCCTTCAGAACCAGTCTTCTCGCAGCTGACTTCTTTAACTAGTTCCATCTGAGCAGGTTCTTGATGAACCCCATCAGCATGAGATGCAGACTTGCTTCCCAGTTCAGTGGATGACCACAATGGGCATGATGCCACTGGCATTGCCCACACCTATACCCAATGGACCATGCCCACTAGCCATAACCATTGGTATCGCCACTAGACATTACTGTGCAAACGTGTGTTGGTGCTGATTGCTTGCCATCTTTTATGGAATCATGAGTTAAGTCGATGGATGGCTTGGTCACTGCTGCATAGTATCTAAATCTGGAGCACTGCAGGAATTGTGTGACTTGATTGCGAAGCAAAGAGAAGGTAAATGGAGGAGAAGAGATGGGTGGAAGTGGAACACTTGTCAACATTTAGGAAAGGACCTTGGTTAAAACCTTTGATGACCATGTCCCATATAATTCTGTTCCCCAAGACTAGGCAACGTTGCACCAACTTATTATGGACTTGATTGCCCTTTTTACATACTGCACCAATGCCATTTAGACTTATTTGTTCAACCATTGGAAGATAAAATAAACACTACATTTTTGTAGAAAAAAAAGATTTAAGAATTTTGTAATGAATCTAAACTAGAAGTTAAGATCATGGGACATCATCATGTTTCAGTTATAGGAATATTCTCTCCAACAAGAAAAAGTTGCTCAAATTATCAAAGGTGTTACTTCAGCTTATCAGCTATGTATATCTTCCTTAGGAATCAATGATCATGACAGACACAATAATATAGCTATGCAGAGCAGTATGCTGCTGCCTTAAACAAGGCTGATCAATGACAGATAAGCCAGTAGGCGGTGGCTGAGTAGGAAAGCCGTGGTCTCACCTGTCGCATAGGGATGTCCGGTGATGCGTACGTCCACACATAATTTTCATCAGCTATTACAGTCTGGTTGTCAACCTCAGCCAAGCCACGAGAAGGCTTGGAACCGCCAATTCGAGCTCGCACCATCTTTGAAGAGAAAATAGGCTAGCCGTCATAAAAAAAACACTGGCACAACAGAAAAGAATATAACGTTTGAATTCACAGGACTAATGACCCTGAAAGGCAAAGCTAAAATTTAGGCATGTAACATCATGACAACAAAAAATCACATACATTTCCTAGTACAGTAGTACCTTTGTACGGATGTATCCTGATCTCATCGACAATGCACAGATTAGAGCGCAGCCAGTAGGTCAAGCTCTCAGGCACGTCAGGGTCGTACTGGCCCCCGCTCGACCAGTAGGATGAACGGTGACCCACCACCTCCCGTGTGGATCGAGCGTGTTCTCCATCCTCTCGGCCGGGAAACGGTCGTTGTAGAGGCACCGATGCAGTCCAGGATGCAGTCCACGAAGGGCTTGGACTTGGAGGAGACGAGGGCGCCTCCGAGGTTGGAGTATGTCCTGTGATCCTTCTCGGCGTCATGGCTGGACCTGGAGGCGGGCGCCGCGAGCGCTGGGACCGGCGGCGATTTGCTCACCTCAACCGCGCGGGTGAAGCTGGCGACCTCCGGGCATATCCTCAGGCAGAGGCTCTTGCAGAATTGGTTGGCGATAACTGCATAGAGTAGCGGAATTCAATCCAAGCGGAGCTCAGCAGCTGCACTGAGGTAACCACAGGAGAAACAACTGGGGGATCGGAATCGCCGCGTACCGAATTGACGCCAGGAGCGGGAGACGGCGGCGGCGCGGGCGAGATCGGTGGGGTCGTCGAGGCGGTGGAAGACGCAGGCGGATGTATCGGGGCCTCGCCAGTCGAGGAAGTCCCAGCCACCGCTCTCCGCCACCTCCATGGGGCAGGAGCCAGACTGCCGTTTCCTTGGTTCCTCCTCCGCCTCCTCGTTATGTATGCTTGCTTGGCTGCTGAATGGGAAATTGGAGGATTTTTTTTTTAAAAAAGATGACTACGTAGAGCTCACTTAGAATTTTCTTCTTCTTCTTTTGAAAAGGAGCCACTTAGATTTTTCTTTTTTTATCACCAGCAAGCGTACTCTCTCCATACTAAAAAAAAAAATGAAGTTATTTTTATAGTGACACGGTCTCCAAAGCATAACTTTGACTACTTATTTTTATAAAGATATTTATCAAAAAGTGATATATGTAAAATTTTGTGAAAGTATTTTTCAAGACAAATCTATATATATGGTTTTCACATTTCCAAACTCAACAACTTAAAAGTTATACATGATTTATATTCCTAATGTTTGACCCAAGTCTTGTCCAAAACGACTTTATTTTTTAGTATGGAGGGAATACTGCGTATCAAAATATTTATCAAATCTCGCTTTTATAGTTCACACTTTACCGAACAAAATATTTATTTAGTTAAGTAAAATGAAAAATGTATCGGTGGTTTTGTTAAAAAAACACTTTAGAAGGATAATATATTTCAAGATTTACTTCTTTGCAGTCGTCTAAGATTTTGCGATTGCATTTGTCACCTACCTCTGTATGCCCCTTCTTTCCCCAACTCTGGCGGCTTAGAAGAGAAGGGGTTTGGGGGAGGCCATCCAAGCGGTGGGAGGGCGATTTAGGGGCCTAAAGGCGGTGGAGGCGGCCGGACCAGGGCGGGACGGGGAGCTCCAACGAGAAGGGGGAGAAGGCAGCGGCCGTGGGCGCGCTAGGGTTTCATCGGGCCGCGAAGCTCTGGCAAAACCTAACGTGTCACGGTGGGGCGGTGGGCATCGGCGGGGGCGAGGACGACGAGGAGATCGCAACCACTAGTGAGGAAGAAGAGGACCAGGCGCGCGTGGTGCAAGGACTAGGCGCGAGGAAGAAGAGGGTCAAGTGGAGAGGTTGATGATGACTGTTGCACCGTTGGATTAGGATCCGACGGCTCTCACCGTCGCCTGATGGATATGCAACTGGTTAGTCGACCGTGCCTGAGACACCCTATATTTCTAGCTATTTCTATAAACCTTCGAATAATTAACAAACGAACAATCAAACATTAAAATGTAAACTCGAAATTAGCAAGTGTTTGTGAAATAAAGGTAAGTATATAATCTTATATAGATTATTAGGTGTTAGCATATTTATTATGTTTTCATGAAATAAAATATTTATCTAATATAATATATATTTTTATGTATACTAGATATATGACCGTGCATTGCATGAGTCAAAACTTTGCCCACACCTATAGCAATGCACATGGCTTGTGGTTAGGCGAACATATTAAGGGCACGTTCGATTCGCATGGGATGGAGTCTTGAATCGATCTGGCCAGGACCGCTACTGTAATTTATACAACCAAGCATCACCAGGAACTGTTCCGACCAGAAATAAGTCAAACCGATCAGGCCCTAAGAAATTTTTAAATCTAATTATCTAGAAAATATAAAGCTCATCTCATAATCTTCATCACCTATATCGTGTAGATCTAGTTTATAAAATCCTAACAAAATTGGTTTTACTTTTTTTAGTACTTTTGTGATCTATGTATACACATAAAAATATGAAAGGGAATTGATACATTTAAATTTGAATGAGATTGAAATATAAATTACTTAGTAAAAAACCAACAAGTAGTCGACCAACTGCAGCACATAAGAACAGTTGTCTAATAAATGTAACGTAAACAAAAATTCTAATATGGACACTATCAAAGCTCAAGTGCTGACCGCAATATTTGGAAACATACCTTTATAGAAAGACCAGCACGGTCGAACTGCACAAGTGCTGAGGACAGTGAACTTGATTGTGCAGCAGGCTTTGAGCCGCCAGCGGCAGGAGGGTCTTGTGGCCGAATTCCTCTTCTTCAATATGTGCCTGATCTGTTTTGTTTCAGTAAAGGTTTTGCCGAATTCTTCTGTTTCACTACGTGTGTGATCTGTTTTGTCGGTGACAGCAAAGATTTCCTGTGTACCAATATGTGCATCCTCTATTTAAATATGTGCCTGATCTGTTTCATTGGCATGTGATGAGTCATTTATATGGTTTTGGATGTGGAACAGTTTGTTTTGGAAATAGGTTTGTTTCGGAAACGGATTGAGTTTGTTTCATAAACGGGTATTTTTTTCCATTTATGATTTTCGATGTGGAAGAGTTTATTTCGAAAACGATTTTTTCGTTTATTTTTTCTAAACATTTTTTTTGCCCTATTTGATTTTATTTTTTTAGAAATGTTTTTTTGCCGCATTTGATTTTTTTCTAAACGGGGACGGTGGGTTTTTTTACGGTGGGTTTTTTGCCGTATATGTTTTATTTTGGATTTTTTCAAAAACGTGGATGGTGGGGTTTTTTTACGGTGTTTAGTTTTGCCGTTTCGGGGTTCTTTTTTTTTTTGCGCCATATAGGGCGGGGGCGGGGACCCAGACCATAGTTGTAGTGATTTTTTAGGTGTAGAGATATATTAGTCATAGTATTGCTTACCAAGGACCGTGTCAATGTTCAAATGGATTAACATCATTAATACAAGGAAAATACAGAGTACACAATATAGATAAACCGTACACGGTTTTCTCTATCTCTATATCTTTGAAAAGCAACTTTTGGATACGAGGAACTTTTGCTTCAGCAGATTGCCAAAAACTTCCTTCTAATTTCTATCCTAACAAGTGGGGCTGGTGTATCACTGTCTAATCATTATCCTCTTCTTTCCCTACCACTCCTCGTCATATTTCCTCTCACACGCGATGCCTCCTCCATCTCTCCTCTCTCATAGGCGCGGGGCAAGTGGTGGGGTCGACATGTAGCACTCGGTTTTAAGAACAAAACTAGATACACACCAAATGTGAGCTCAGGAAGTCAAATCTCACATATAACTACAAACAAGGGTAATATCGAAAGACAATGCTCAACATATAACGTACTTAGTATAAAGGATATAACCTTAGACAGCAAATAGCGGAAAGACAACTCTGATCTTTGGGTGAAGACTCCCATTCCACAGGGACAACTGACTGGCTGATTACAAGCCTAATTCCTCCAAACTCTAGCAATCTGGTACCCATCCGGGATTTTTCTAAAGATTTAAAAAGTAAAGCAAACGTAAGTACATGTCGTATTCAACAAATATAACATAGGGTTCATGAGGCTCCAAAGGCTGACACTGGTTTAACTGCAATTAGCTTTTAATGAGTCATCTTTTAGCAATTGGGTGGCAACAAGTTTATTCACAAGCCCATATAAACACATGATCAGGTAAACATGAATAATGAATAGCATAAACAATAAGCATTAGTGAGTATCTTCATCATCCGTATCATCAGTGTTCATCATCTATTCCGTAAGGGTTCCAAGGCCGCTCGTGACCCTAAGCACGGCTGATATACCAGTTTTACACTTTGTAGAGGTTGTACACTTTCACTGTGAGTCGTGATTTACCCTTTCGCCCGAGGTGATCAACCTCTTAACCCACTACCAAGGAAGGTCGGCAGAGTTCACTATAAAGCCTTTCAAAGGTTCATCTAACAAGTTAGGGTCATTAGATTTACTCGGCAAACAGATGTAGGAACCCCCTTCCCGATGGCACAATGGCACGCAACCTATACACAAGGGGGCAGAGGCTGTCCTATACCTGATTCGGCAAACCATTCTAACACCAATAGAGGTAACCTCTAACAAGCAAGAAAATGTCCTCATACTGAGCTAAAGTCAGAGCCATGTAGCCCTCACAGCTGTACTGTAAGTTCTGGATGATCACTTACAGATAACTCCTTAGGGAGAGGAATCTAGAGCACCATAAAAATAGCCCAATGCTCTAACCCCCTGGTTCCATATTACTAAAAACATCTTTTAGTGTTTATTGCATAATCCATTAGTCAAGTAACAAGATCATGGCTTTAGTTGAGCACTAGCATCATACTACCCAATGCATATCCCATAGGAGACAAGGTATAAGTTCAATTCTAGGAAATCCCTATCAAGGTGACAAATACAATATAAATTAAACATATTAAAGTTGATAGGAAACAAGGATGATACCACGCTATACTTGCCTTAAAACACCTATCCTTCGGTAAGCTTTAATCTTCAACGTCCTTCTTCTTCTTCCTGATCATCACGTATATCTCACCGACTGGACGTAATCGTAGAACACCACACAAACATCCATACACATACATGCATAGCAAATAATTGCATCTACATTAGAACAATACACCAATCATAGAAAAATAAGTAAAAGAGTTTGAAACACGATTCTACGTATCACTACGAACACACAGTCGCGAGAGGCACGTTAATCGGAGCTACAGTTTGAAAGAAACGGCTACCAAAAGATATACTCATAAGAGAAAATATAAAACTATAACCTTCATGTGTCTTAACTATATAAAATCATATATAAGATATTTCATAGATAATATAAATTGAATTAAGTCAAATTTACGTTTGAATTACAAAACTAAAGTAAAACTAATCATATTTTATTTATAAAATCTAATCATAATTATTATTCAAGTTAGGATTTAAACCATGAAATTCTAGAAATAGTGACATGATAAACATTGTTACTAACACGTAGATCTCGTCGTAATGAATCTAACACAACTTGAATGGGTCAAATCAGAATTAAAACAGAGAAGATATGGCCTAATGAAGATAGTGACAATTTTGTAAATAGATGGAACTTAATTTTTGAATTTAAAATAAATAAAATTGGATTCTAAACTGAGCCAGGGACTGTGGATACTATTTTGAAGAAAGACAGGGTCTCTTTAACAAAATTACAGGGACGGCGAGTTAGAACTTAAAATCTTGTGGGGGCTCTTTAGTAAATTTCGCAGCGAAGGGGTATCTTATAATCTGGGCTGTTGGATAAAAGATGGACGGCTACCGAGGGTTGGGA